CCCCAAAACCCCAAAACCCCAAAACCCCTTAAGATCGATCAAAGAGAACATTATTGGAAGATTTCTATTATCCTTAATTAAAATAAATATATAGAATATTTAATGCAAAGCTCGCAGTAGCAGCCTATTTCCAAATCAAGGTTAAAGACAGCTGTGCATAAGCCTGGAACTTAAAATCAAACTGAAAAAGACATTGAGAAATCTAGAAATCAGAATAAGAGTCTTGTTGCTTCTGAGAATAACTTAATAACTCATAGTTTGCAAATAAATGAAAAGTCCTCAAAAGTTAATATCAATATTAATAATCAGAAATCTTAAAATCTAAATAAATTCAATAGTTCAAGTGCTAAATAAGGGTTAGCTAGTCTAAATAAAAACAATAGCACTGCAAATAATTCTCCGGTTAAAGAATAATTGAAAAGTAATGCAGATATAGGGTAAAGCTCTATGATTAAACTGAACAACATGACAGCAGTTCAGCTTAATCAGCATCAAATACAAATAGAATAGCAAATTAGCTCAATAAATGACCAATAAAATGCAGAGTAGTAAGTCAAATCTGAAAAAATAAGAGTGGCTGTCAGAGTTAGACCATTCCTCGCAAAAGAAATTGGGAAAGAAAGCGTTTGCTATGTTTCTAAAAATGTAAGTTACATCATCTTCTTATTAAATTTACCAAAAATAGATTATTCAAAAGCTAATACTAAATTATAGGGCAAGCAAATAAGAGTTTCGGATCTGAGTCATACAATAGAGGGTACATATGATAAAGTATTCCCAAAAGAAGCAACTTAGAATGATGCTTACTCTTATGTAGCAGATGTCATCCCTAATCTTTTATAAGGTTTTAATTGTACAATATTTGCATATGGATAGACAGGATCGGGTAAGACGTATACAATGTTCGGAGAAGGCTATGATTCCTAGCTTATGCTAAATAAATCTACCTTTGACAATAGTAAAACTATCAATGAGAGTTTTATGAATAGACACCACTCTATAAACTAAGTGCAAAGTGATTCTTAGCTCCTTTCTGATACGAATAAATCTTAAAAAAGAGGACTTATACCTCGATGCATTAGTGAACTATTCAATTACATAAAAACTAATGGAATAAAGGTTACAATTTACTGTTCATTCTTGTAAATATACAATGAGAAACTATATGATCTACTTCAAGATACTTACACTAAGAATCCCCTTTAAATTAGAGAAGAAAAGCTTCAGGGCATTTATGTGGAAGGATTATCAGAATATGTCGTTTAAGATGACAATGACTGTTTAAACTTGCTTAAAAGAGGAGAGAAAAATAGAATAAAGAGATCAACAAAGATGAATATCAAGTCTTCGAGATCACATTCTTTGTTCTAATTACTTCTTGAGACTGACTAAGTAGACAACAAGGGAATGCTGAAAAGAGCAAAGCTAAATTTAGGAGATTTAGCTGGATCAGAAAAAGTAAACAAAGATGAGGAAATGAAAGCTAAGCACATGCTTGAACTAAGAAATATAAACTTATCGTTGACAACTCTTGGCAAAGTCATTTAAGTTTTATCATAAGGTGGAACTGGCAATCAATAAAACCCTCATGTGCCATTTAGAGAATCAAAACTAACAAGACTGCTTCAAGATTCTTTAGGTGGTAACTGCTAGACATACCTAATAGCCACTGTTTCACCCCTTCTAGAATCCATAGAAGAAACTATATCCACTCTTAAGTTTGCTGATAGAGCTAAATGTGTAATGCAAAGAGTGAAAAAGAACGAAATAAATGCCAAAGATGATGCTTTAGTATAGAAACTCTAAAAAGAAGTGCATCATTTGAAAGAACTTCTTCAGTTAAAGAGGAAAGGAGTCAATCCCACAGATTTGAGTGTTCAACTTTACATGCTTAAGGATGAGAATGAAAGACTTAGACAATATGCAGTAAATTATGAAGATGTTGAGAAGATGAAGTAAGAAAATAAACAAATGAGATTAGAACTTTAAAGGCTCAGAATGATGGCTAGTGATGTAGGTTCAAATTACAATGGGGATATAAGTCCAAAAAGTTTTCAAGGGGCATATAAATTTATCAATAAAAATGGTACTATGGACTTTGCAAATGCTTCATAACACATCAATAACACTGAATAGAAACTTCAATCTGACTAACTAACTGATAGTGATGAGTCCATTCAAGAGCAATTCAAGAATTACAAGAGTGAGTTGAATTTCGACATCAAGCTAGAAAATAATTAATTACAAAAAGGAGTTTCCCATCATATTGATATTTAAACTGATAGAGTTCTTGCTAATCAAAAGGTATTATCTAGTAATTAACACAATCAAAGTGTCTCTCCATTAAGCTTGGCTTCATAGGAAACCTATAAAATAATGCAGGATCACTCTTAAAAGTAAAAAGATTAAGTTAACCTTAAGCATTAAAAGGAAAGACTTTAAAATGTTATCTAGGAATCCTAGAATCACAGAAGCCTTGATCTTCAGAGTTCTTCCTAGTAAAAACCTAAGCAACATATTGCTTTACGAAAAAGATATAAGGAAGGTGATCTTTCAGATGAAGGGAGTTACATCAGAGATTAAATAAATATAACTTTACCTGCAATTAACGAGAATTCAGTCAATATGCAGCAACAGCCAGTTTTCTCTAAGATTGAACTGAGTTGAAAGACATCTAATCAAGAGATCTTTAAATTAGGTGGCAATAATAACTAAAATAAGAGCATCATAATCAATTAATAAAGTTAAAGCCCATATGCATTGAATCGATCTAATATTAATCCTATGGTTAAGTCAACTGATACATATTCCAGTGATTTCAGAGGATAGCAAAATGTAATAAATAAGTATCCAAACAGAAATAACTCAGTTGTAAGACACTCACTGCATGAGTTTCCCATTAATAATAGAGGCTAGATTACCTAGTAAACTTTTAATAATATGTCTGTCAACAGTGATGTGAGTAAATCTTACTAGATAAGTGGGTCATAGGGCATTAATGGTTTAACTACCCAGTCTAGTTTATATGGGATGAATCCCTCGATAACTTTATCGAATGACATTAAATATGAGAAATCAAATGATCCAACTAGAGATAAAAGTCCCCTTTCTACTGTAGTTAGAATACGCGGAAGACATAACTAAATGGTTGAAACAAAGGGGCATATTTTGATGACACTTGATGAGGAAAAGAAAATACAAGAGAAGAAGAAATAGTTAAGAAGATCTAATGATAGATTAAAAATGCTAGAATAAATGGAAAAAGACAGATAAGCTAAAGTTGAGCAAGAGCTGGAGAGATTAATGAATGACAAAGCTAAAAGAGAAGCTGAGGAATTAAGAAAAAGAGACTTGATTAAACTAAGAAAGCAAGCTTAAGGTGCATTGACTCAGTCAAATGAGCTCTTACCTATATCAGAATTAAAAAAATCATAAATATGAGAGGAAAGTTCTAAAATCAATATAAATGTAAATGAGTAAGAAACTTAACTTGCCTATAAGGTAAATTTTCATTATAGTTTAAAAGTTAATTATATGATAATTCTTACATATCAAAAGCAAAAGCTATTCAAGGTACTTGGGGTTTTGGGGTTTTGGGGTTTTGGGGTTTTAGAACTTTC